GCCAATGATCTTGAAGGAAGAAATTCAAGGTACACTGAAGGCATTGGCAATGAAGAAGGCTCAGGGGATTGATGGAATATAAATTGAAATGTTTCACCAAACTGATGCTGCACAGGAGGCACTCACTCATCTATGTCAAGAAATTTGGAAGACAACTACTGGCCAACCGACTGGAAGAGATCCGTATTTGGGCCCACTCCAAAGAGAGGTGACCCAGTGGAATGAGGAAATTATCAGAATATATCATCAATATCCATGCAAGTAAAATTTTGCTAAATATAATTTAAAGATGACTGTAACCATACATTGACAGAGAACTTCCAGAGGTTCAAGCCTGATTCAGAAGAAGACATGGAATGAAGGATATCACTGCTGATGTCTGATGAATCTTGGCTGAAAGCAGAGAATACCGGAAAGATGTTTACCTGTGCTTTATTGACTACACAAAGGCCTTTGATTGTGTGGATCATGACAACCTATGGACAGCATTGCGGAGAATGAATATTTTGGAACACTTAATTGTGCTCACGAGGAACCTGTACATAGACCAAGAGGCAGCTGTTCCTACAGAACAAGGGGAAACTGAAAGGTTTAAAATTAGGAAAGGTGTGCGCCAGGGTTGTATTCTTTCACCATACTTATTCATTTGGCATGCTGAGAAAATAATCTGAGAAGCTGGATTAAATGAAGAAGAACATGGCATCAGGATTGGAGGAAAACTCATTAACAACCTGTGATATGCAGATGATGACACAACCTTGCTTGCTGAAAAGTGAAGAGGACTTAGAATATTTACTGATGAAGATCAAATACCACAGCCTTCGGTATGGGTTTCATCTCAATGTAAAGAAAACAAAAATCCTCACCACTGGACCAATAAGCAACACCCATATAAATGGAGAGAAAATTGAAGTTGTCAAAGATTTCGTTTTGCTTGGATCAAAAAAGAAATCAAACAACATATTGATTGCATCAGGCAAATCTGCTGCACAAGACCTCTTTAAAGTGTTGAAGTGCAAAGATGTCAGTTTGAGGACTAAGGTGTGGTTGAACCAAGCCATGGTATTTTCAATAGCCACATATACATAGGAAAGTTGGACACTGAAACAGAAAGACTGAGAAGAATCAATACATTTGAGTTATGGTATTGGAAGAAGTACAATCAGAGTGCTCATTAACCCACAGCGCCACACCAGGACTCAAAAATTTAAAATACATTTTTAGCAGGAACTTCTCATTATTATAAAATATACTGAAAACCAACAATTTTAATATAGGTGACACAATAATCATAAAATTTGTTTATTTACAAAATACTAGCTATATAGAGTCCTGGTGTGGCACTGTGGGTTAATGCGCTAGACTGCAAAGTCGGTTTGAATTACAAGGTTGGTGGTTCGAGCTCACCAGTAGCTCCTTGTGCTAGAGATCTAGTATTTCGTAAACAAATATATATGATTATTGTCATACGTGACCTATATTAAAATTGTTTATTTTCAGTGTATTTTATAATAATGAGAATATCCTGTTAAAAAAGTATTTTGGATTTAGTATTCACACAGTACTTTGTTATTGTTATTAAATACTGTCAAACTAGTTTTGATTCATGGCAACCCTGTATAGGGTTTCTGAGGAGTGGCTGGTGGGCTTCAACTGTTGACCTTTTAGTTAGCAGTTTCATGACATCCTACAGCATCACACCAGGGCTCCATATAATATTTTAGGAGTGTTGTTATCACTAAACCATTTTTTAAGTGAGCCAGTGATGCAATGATGCAACCAGTTTTTAAGTGAGCTAATATATTTTTTCAAACAGAATTTTAAAATATATTTTAGATCATTTTTTCTTTGCATTGAAATGTTTTGAGACAGTGATTAAAATTGAACATCATTGTCACTTGCGGTTTAATGTATATAAAGAAACAGTTTAAGATTGCTATTTTCAAAACTAATTAAAAATCTTGATTTTGTTGCTGTTAAGTGCCATCTGGAATAAACAAAATTTGAGATAATACAAAATGCAATATTATTTGCAATATGAAGTATGGATTTGGTAGTTATATTTCTTCAGATGAAATTGCTCCAGGTAATCCACTGGTTGTTAGGCACCCTTGAGTCATTGCGAACTTATGCAAAACAGAACTAAACACTGCCCGGGGCTGTGCCATCCTCACAATTACTACTCTTGAGCCCATTGCTGCTGCCATTGTGCCAAGCGATCTCATTGGGAGTCTTCCTCTTTTCCACTGACCTTCCTTCCACTTGTGCTGGTTGAGGTGTTGTCCCTCTAACAGTGCTACTGTCCATCCAAAGGATTGGGAAGGAGTAGCGCACTCACTCCACAGAAAGGAGGTTAGAAAGACAACAAGCTTAGTCAGATAAAAAGATGTAAATGCTCTTATAGTTCTGGTGTGGCGCTGTGGTTAATGTGCCAAACTGCAAAGCCATTTGAACTTCAAGGTTGGTGATTCAAACTCACCAGCTGCTCCTTGGAAACCCTATACAGGGTTGCTATGGGTCGGGATCAACTGGACGGCATTTAACAACAACAACATAGAGATATAAGAATGGGCTTTCCTCTTGAAACTGAGGAAGAAAGCCAAATACAACTTGACTTTTCCTTTATATATTCTTTTTTTAAATGTTTTATTATAAATTATGTGATAGTTTACATGGGAGAACATTAGTTTTACATTCTATCGCATATTGTTTCACTGCCATGGTTACAATCTCTTCCATGCATCATCAACCAACCAAAGGGTATACACTACAAGCCTGCCCCCAGTCATCAGCACACAGCCCCTCTCCCTCTCTGGGTCTAAAGTCCCCAGATGCTCCATCTCTGGCATCACTGCTTCTGTGGGTAGGGTCCCACTCTCCGCTCTTCTCCCTTGATGGTCCCAGGGACCTCCGCTCCTAGACTGCAAAGTCAATCACTCCCCTCCTTGCTACAAAATGTCTACCTTTACATTTCCAACCCTCACAATCCTGATAACAATTATTCACTATTGTATCACAAGAGACCTATCCGCATTTCCTTTTATCAGCCCCTCCTACACAGATTGGATACTACTCAGTGGAGATTCTACCTTCCTCCATGTCTTGTAGATCTAGGTTCCCTCTTTAAAGCTTGTAAGCCAGTCACTTCTTGCCTTTGTATCCCCACCCCCACCCCCACTTTGGGTAGCCAACATGATGTCCTCAAGCGTCATCCATGTTATGCGATGGCTTGCAGCCTCGTTATTCTTCAAGGTAGCATGCCATTGTGTGTATGTATGACAGTTTATCCATTTTTCAGTTGATGGGTACTTTGGCTGTCTCGATCTTTTTGCAATTGTAAACAGTGCTGCTGTGAACATTGGTGTGCCCTTTATACATTCTTCTGTCAGGGGTGTGAGCTGTACTCCCGGTTCAAGTTCAGAGCAGCTAATTTGTGGAATTTGTCTAAATATGCTTGTCAAGGGTCTTGTTCCCATCTCACGAATGAGTAACTGCCTTTTCCTTTACAATTCTTTTCCCTACCTCATCAGGATCTTATTGCTCAGGTTCGTCTAATTTTTCCTGGAGGGACAAGCGGTAGGGAGTATGACATGAAATCCTCTTCTTTCCCCTAATGTACTTTACCAAGCAGGTTATCCTTTTGCAGAATATATATTTAAGTTCGGAGAGTAAAAAAAAACAACCCAGATCTGAACAGTTTCAGACATGGTCAATGAAGGGAAAGCAGATTAGAAACTAATTTAAAAGTGTTCATGGCACTTAACAACAACAACAACAATAGCAACTTTACAACAGCCAAAAATAACTTCAATGGGTGTATGGTTTAGCTGGTACACCCACACCATGGACTATTACTCAGCAACGAAAAGGAACACAGTATTGGCAAACTACTGACACACAACCCAGATAAATCTCCATAGAATTAGGCGAGTGAAAAAACTCCAATCCCATTTACACTATGATCCTTTAACATCTTTGAAATGACAAAATTACAGCTAGAAAACAGAGTTGTGGTTGCTAGGAGTGAGGGAGAGTGAGGAAGGGGTGGTGTTGTTAAGTGTCCTTGAGTCGGTTCCGATCCATAGCGACCCTGTATAGGGTTTCCGAGGAGCAGCTGGTGAACTTGAACCACCGCGACCTTGCAGTTCAAACGGCTTTGTAGGCGTATTAGTACCCACAGCGCCACACTAGGACTCGGGAGGAAGGGGTAGACATGATTATAAAGGGTCAGAGAGAGATGTTTGCGTTGATAGAATAAGAACCCAAATTTTAAATTCTTGGTGAACCAGCAGTATAACCAGAACGGTATAAAATTACATGTGGAAGCCCAGAGTCAAAGACATTCAGAAGAAAGAGGTGTGGGAACGTAAACTGGCCAGAGCGCTAGTAAAAATCTTCACAGTTGGCAGGTGTAAGGCTGCTTCGCATTGGTGGCACGGGGATTTTTCTATTATTATTACGTAGCGCTACTTCCTTCTCGGAGGAAATACCTGGGGAAGCCGGTAGGCCACCACAGGGCGCTCCAGAAATCCAGACTCTCAGCTGCCGCACACTAAGCTGGAGACCTGTCGAGCTACCTCCTCGAGACCGGGTTGGCTTTCTAAATTGACAGATTCGCCACAGTTTGTAATCAGGTATTTAAAATGAAAATTAGAATGTCCTTGTTTAGGAAGCCCGTTCTGTCCAGAAAAACAGAATCATGGAGATTCTGAATCCATTATTATTATTTTTTTCTTTTCTGATGTCCACAGTCTCAACACCCAGCTTGCTGGGGACTCCCATCGAAAGTGAACACGCTGACGCTCAGGTTGGCATTCCCAGCACGCAGTTGCTGCGTCTTCACGATCCCGCCCCCGCCGGGAGTTCGACGTGGAAGTTGCTGGCGGACCTGGCCTCCCAGGAAACCGCCTGGGAGTTGGAATTGGAGGCGGAGGTGGAGGCGACGCTGAGGATTCAATAGGAGTCACTGCTGAGGCTGGGGCCTGTATTTGAGCATCGGCGAGGGCGGGCAGGCGATTCATCATGGGTGAGGGATCCGAGAAGGGGTCCCGGGAGTGCTCTAGGGGTGTGTGGCCTAGGGTTGGGATCGGGAGGCGGTGAGGGACCGCCCGATGGAGCTAAAGTGTAGCCATTTCTTCAGGGCGGGTGGACCGGGCGGAGTGAGTCCGTCTCCGCCCTCGTTAATTTCCGTCCCTTCCCCCCGCGGGGACTGAGCTGCTCGGCACCTGGGAAGTCGGACCCGAGTTCTCGACCCTGGCCTTGAACTTCCCTCACCCCTGTCAAACCCACCCAACTTGTTGTGCAAGTCGGTCTTGTGAAGACGGGTTACGTGTCGGTGGCCGGTTGGCTGAGATTTCCAGGATGAAAATTGAGAACTGACCCCATAGTGGAAGCTTGATCTCTCCCAGGACACAGGGATTGCATCAATATTGGAATGTCAGTGGGAAGTGTTGCTTATGTTGTTGTTCTGTAGCCACATGTTTGTTTATCTGTAGTTTCTCCCTGGAGTTAATAGACTAAGAGGAAGTGGGAAAGGCGCTACGTTACTATCAGTGAGTGAAATTTTAAAGCCAGTTTTTGGTCTGATAATTGAGACAAGTATTATCACCACCACAATTGTCAGGTAACTCCCCCATGACTCCAGAGTCCTGATGGGGCGTTGTAGGATAAACACCTGACTGCTAATCACGAGGTTGGAGGTTCAAGCAGACCATCCTCTCCTTGGATACACTATACAGGGTCGCTATGAGTCCAACCACGATGGCACTTAACCACCCTTCCAGAGGCCAAAGGAAGGTGCAGAGTGGACTGGTGGTTTAAATCTACTCACACTTTTCTGGGGAGTTTACTTCCTGCTCCAGAACAACCCAACCCCCTCGATTTTGTTACTCTAAGTCTCTAATGCATGTAAAAGGTAGAAAGGGCCTTGTTGAATCACTCCTTCTGTTAAACTTGCCCAGAGTTCTCTAGCCCTTGATACGTTCATTTTCCCTGACTCAAAATTTAATCGTGCTGTTTGCCAGATAATCCTGCATTGTGAATGGCATCTCTTCTATTGTCAATTTTTTTTTATATTGTTAGTGTCACTTTGCACAGTATCTTGCATTTATCAAGAAATATTAGTTTCTTTATTATTTTTTTTGGTATTTAAAAGGTTTTCAGTGAAAGGTAAGTTTCAGCATTTTCAGCTCTCATGTCTCAATTTCTTGTGCACGCTGTATTGTTTAATGGAGAAATCTCAGAAATTGGGACTATTAATGGTGCTATTACTGTTGTATAACAATTGCTTTACATGTTCAAGGACCTCATTGTCCCACTGTCATTGTGACCAGTTCTCTGGATTTTTTAGTGTTGAGATCTTGCTAACTAGAGATTTAGCTCCAGGAGGATAGGGACACGTTCCCTATTTTTTAGTGTATTCTCCTGCCTTGTTGTTCTAAAGTGCTGTCGAGTCAATTCCGACCCATAGCGACCCTGTAAGGGTTTCTGAGGAGCAGCTGGTGAGCTTGAACTGCCAACCTTGCAGTTCAAACAGCTTTGCAAGGCTGACACATTAACCCACAGCGCCACACCAGGACTTGTGCCCTACCTGGTACAATATTTGGGATGTGGTATTACTAAATACTTATTTGATGTTGAATAATATATTTCATTGGGAACAAAAATATGCACCTATGAATTGAGGAAAATATTTAATTTTGTATGGCTTCCAAAAGGCAAGATTACATGTTTTGAGAACTTGTCTTCATAAAAATGATACTGAATAATACACTTTTGTTTTTATTATATTTTTAGGAGGCTTTTTCTCAAGTATTTTTTCCAGTCTCTTTGGAACCCGGGAAATGAGGATTTTAATTTTGGGATTAGATGGAGCAGGAAAAACCACAATTTTGTACAGATTACAGGTTGGAGAAGTTGTTACTACTATTCCGAGTAAGTGTTGGTATGATCAATGAATTGTAGGATCTTGTTTTCCATATAGTACAAAGTTTATTTCTGAAGTTCAGATTTGGAATTGATAAATCATTCATATAATAAAGTAATTATTAACACTTATTAACCTTACAGAATGAGCATGATATTTATAACATTTTATTCTTAACTGAGAGGCAGTTTTGTGTAATTTAAGGATCCTGTAGGATAAGCACTGGACTACTAATGGCATGGTCTGCAGTTGAAAATCTCCAGCTGCTTAGAGGAAAATGAGGCTTTCTGCTCTTGTAAAGATTTACAGCCTTGGAAATCCTATTCAGGGTTGCTAAGAGTCAGAACCGACGCAGTAGCATTGGGTTTGGATCCTACTGCATGGTTGGGTTTTGCTGTTCATAACTTGGCTTTGGTAAAGGCACAGTCTCCTTGGGAACTAATGTCTTTACTGGTGAAGTGAAGATAAATATCCACTAGCTTTGAGGGAGAAATAACAAAAAATACACAAAAGTCCTTGGTAAACCTGTATAAAGTGTTGTGCCAATGATAAATGATGCTGTGACATGTGAAGTGGGTTGTTTTTCTGTACTTATTGCTATTTCAATTAGTTTAATTTCTCTTAAGTAATTCTATTGATTATTGTTATTAAAGATTTGATTTATAGAGACTGAGCTGTGAAGTAATCTGATACCTAAATCAAGTGAAGCAATACCTCAATTCAAAATCAGTTGTTGCTATCATAGAAAAATATTCCCAGCCTTGTTTGAAATCAGTAAGAATACTGTTATTTATTAGATACCTTTTCCACATACTCATCTAAATTTTCTTAAAGATAATACAGTGAAATCTGTGAAAGCCGGAACCCTGTCAGAAAAGAAAATGTGGTGAGTGTGCCCTGCCAAAGGTGGGGAACTTGCAGGACTTGAGACAACAAAGCAGGTGTTGTGGTTCTCACAAATTTCACTGCACATTGAAGTTTAAGAGTTCATATTCTCTGCTGGAGCGTTTTAAAATTATGTCTCCAAAGTTTTTCTATCACTCAGAGTATTTCTGCATTTGTTGTTGTTGCTAAGTGCTGTTAAGTCAATTCCAACCTATAGCAACCCTTATAGTGTTTCCAAGGAGCAGGTCATGGGTTTGAACTGCTGACCTTGTGGCTAGCAGTCCAGTGTTTATCCTATAGCACCACATTGTGTTATGAGGTGAACTTAATATAGTTGGAATTTTATTGAGGTGGTTCAATGGTATAATTCTTCCCTCCCATTTGGGAAGACCCAGGTTTGACTAGCCATTAGTGCATCTCATGCGCAGCCACATCGTGTCTGTCAGTAATGATGGCTTGTCTGTTGGTCGATGCTGAAGAGGTTTCAGTGGAGTTTACAGACTAAGACGAACTAGAAAGAAATGCCTGCAAGCTGCTTCTCAAAATCAGCCAATGAAAACCATGTAGATTACCGGAGCATTGTCCCATGTGGATGGTGCAGGACTGGGCCCTGATCAGGTCTTGCAAGGGGCCAACGTAACAGCAACTAACAACAAGGATGGTGTATTTCCAGAGCTGGCTGGGAATTTTTGTGTAGCAAAGGTGCTGATCTTGCTACCTACTGGTGATGGGTGGGTATGTATGTTGCACAGCTAACTATCTCGTCTTAAATATAATAATGTCTCCACCAAGAATGTTTTTCACCCAGTCAGCCATTGTTTACATGCACAGGAAAAGCATGGTGTGGAATTGTTGTTGTTAAAAAGTGCCGACGAGTTGGTTCTGACTTACAGTGACCCTGTATAGGGTTTCTGAGAAGTGGCTGGAGGTTTGGAACTGTCAGTCTTGCACCTAGCAATCCAGTGCTTAACCTACAGAGCCACACCTGGATTCCATATGGTGTGTAAAGCAACCATTTAATTGGACTGGATACTTTGAAGGTAGAATGTGTTAGTCTTAAATGTATAATTGGTTTGATTTCTTTTTCAGCCATTGGATTTAATGTTGAGACAGTAACATACAAAAACCTCAAATTTCAAGTCTGGGATTTAGGAGGACAGACAAGTATCAGGTATGGTACAAAGCTCAGATTATTTCTTTTGTGATACTTAATATTTATTGGCTCTTTTAAGGGTTGAATTGATAATTAAACCAAAGCATGTCTTTTGAAATTTAGCGTCCTAGTTTAAAATCAGATACAATTTGAAACTCCTGTCCTCTTAAGAGCATCAACTAAATTAAAATCTAAGCCAGTTTTTGAATTACTATTTAAATGAAAAATCTTTTCACAAAAATTTGAAGACCTAATTCCTTCAGCAGTTTTTAAACTAAAAACACCCTTCTGTTTAGTTCTTGTCAACCCCTTCCTCTATGAGAAAGGCAGTGGAGTCCCTAAAAACTCCTTGTAGGCCCAGCAGTTCGGGCTGATGTGAGCATAGCGGTTCCAGAACGTAGGTCCTCTCTACTAACCTTCTGTACTTGACGTAGCAACTGTAAATACTCAACTGTAACTGAAAGGTTAACAATTCAGACCCACCAAGAGGCACTGTAGAAGACAGAAGACTGTTCTGAAAAAGGTCACAGCCTAGACTAATAGTATATTCCCCAAATATCCTGGCTTTTTTTAACTTAGTACATTTGAAAATGGTTTTGAGGCTATTCCAGATATTAGTCCTTGCTACTTCTTGGTGTGGTGGTGTAAGATGCACACTGGACTGCTACTCACAAGGGTGGCAGTTCAAAACCACCAGTTACTTCTCGGAAATCCTGTACAGAGTTGCTATGCGTCAGAACCACCTCGACAGCAGTTAACAACAACTTGCTTGGTGTCTTCAGTGATCAGTTTACGAGGGGTCTTTAAAGAGTTCATGGGAAATTCATATTGTGACAAAGCTTTACATGGATTTCAATTTTTTTTAACTTGTGCTAAACATGTAATAACATGTGTAAACAAGACCTGGTGTGAAGCACCAAGAAGGCTAAGCATCTGTTTGAAAAGAGCCCCTATCAGAGCTACATGATTTTGCTAAAAAGGAGGAAGCAAAGACAAACATCAAATTTCTGGGGAAGTGTGGGTGGGAGAGCTGATAGCACTGCTGCTTTACAAAACCATGCCCCCGAGTAGTCAGCAGTTTACAAAGGAATAGCTCATTCTAAGGAGGAATAAGACAGCGTGGAAGGTGAAGGTGAAGACCTCAGTGGCAGAGCAGCCATGTTAGTTTTCATTTCTAAGGAAAAAATTACTCTTGTTCGTGCCTTAACTGAAGAGGACCGATGATTGACAGCAGAAACAATAGCCAATACCGGACACATCTCAACTGGTTTAGCTTACACAATTCTGACAGAAAACTTGAAAGTTTTCTGATCAATGAGTGCGAACTGCTGCATCCAGATCAACCGCAGACCAGAGCAGAGCTTTCACTGGGAATTTTAAACAATTGATTTCAGGATCTTGAAGTGCTTCTTGGAAGAATTGTAACAGGGGATGAAACAAGGCTTTACCAGTGTGATCCTGAAGACAAAGCACTGTTTAGACCTTGACAGAGTTATGTTGAAAAATATTTTTTTTATTACTAAAAAACAAGTTTTAATTATACTTAATTTCATTTAATTATTTTTAGTTCCATTTTCCACAAACTTTCTTGAAGACTCCTTGTTAGATTAAAAAATAAAAAAAATCTGCTCATTTACGGGGTCCTGGTGTGGCACGGGGCTGCAAACCACAAGGTTGGCAGTTCAAACTCATCAGCTGCTTCTCGGAAACCCTGTTAGGGGTCAATATGAGTCAGAACTCACTCGACTGCACATAACAGTAACAGCAATTAGACTTAGAAAGTGTTTATGGTACTGTCAGCATTCTTTGGACCCCTTGTCTGAGAGGTCTGCTAGACATCACTCATAGAAAGCGAACATTCAGTGATTCTGATGTGGGCAGAGCCGGATTGGGTACCAATCACTGCCCTGAGCCCTCACATTTTAGCTGGCACTGTGGTGCTGGTAAGTACTGTCCGTCAGTTCTGACCTGTGGTGACCCTATATGGATAGGGTTTTCAAGGCTGTTTGTCTTTATGTGAGAGCAGAAGGCCTCATCTGTCACCCACAGAGTGGTAGTTAGAACGAGCCCGATGAGTTACCCACTACATCACCAGGGCTCCTAACTGGGACTTTATTTAGTTCCTTAATAATAATACTATATTCTTCCTTTTTGAACTTTCTCTAGGCCATACTGGCGATGTTATTATTCAAACACAGATGCAGTGATTTATGTAGTAGACAGTTGTGACCGAGACCGAATTGGCATTTCCAAATCCGAGTTAGTTGCCATGTTGGAGGTAAGGAAACTTTTATTAAAACGTGGGGAAATCGTTGACTTCTGTTGTTGTTTCCAGTGTATATAGTTACTTGCAGGAATAATTTTAAAGAGTTCAGAGTTTTCTGTTTCTGATTTCTTTATGCCTTTAGTACCTTTTTATTTTTTGCAAACTACTTTTTATTATCAAGGGGCTTGCAGGCAAGGGAATCCAGCCCTGTAATTTCCATTAAAGTGGATTGTTGATTTCCAGGAACTTCAGAGCTGAATTCTTATTCTTCTTTGAGCTACAATTCAATTACAATTCAATCGTTCTATGTGCTCATGTCAGTCGCTCTGAACAGTGTATTCACAGCTACGTGCAACCATCAGAGCCACGTTAGAACATCTTCCTCACCTCAGAGAGAAATCTTGTGCCTGTTGTCACTCTCCTGTCCTCCCACTTCTCCCGACCCTTGACCCTAAGCAGCCACTAATCTGCTTTCTATATCTTTAGGGCCCTGTTCTGAACTCTTAAATGAATGGATCAGATAGTATGTAAACTTTTGTTACTGACTTCTTTGACTTAGCAGGATGTTTTCAGGGTTCATCTATATTGTAGCATGTATTATTACTGTATTCCTTTTTATGGCTGAATAATATCCTACTTTGTGAATAGATGACATTTTGTTGATCCATTTGTCCATTAATAGCTATTTGGGTTCTTTGCCCTTTTTGACTATTATGGATAATGCTGCTATAAGCATTCAGGTGCACAGTTTTGTGGTGACACGTTCTCTTGGGTTGTTGTCCAGTAATCCCCAACTCATGGTGATCCTATAATGGAAGGAAACGTTGCTTCGTCCTCAGCCATCTTCAGGGTCATTGTCATGCTTTTGCTTTGATGTTGGTTTTTTTCCCCCCTTTATTTAAATTTTATGTATTTTATTATTGTTAAGATTATATACAGCAAAACACACCAATTCCACAGTTTCCACATGTACAATACAGTGACACTGAGGACCTTTTTTGATGATGCACACCTTCATTCCCACTCTTCTTCAATTGTTTCTCCCCAATTGACCTAAACCTGTTGCTTTCTAAGGTTCCTCTGAGTTACTGTTATCAGTTTGATCCCAATAGATAGATAGTTAAAAGACCATCATGCTCAGGGCAGACCCTTTTTATAAGTTACACTAATCTATTTGTCAGTTTTAAGATGACTTCAGGGGTTAATTTTGGTTTCAAGATTATCTCAGGACAATAGTTTAAGAGGCTCATTTATCCTCCTTGGTTCCAGAAAATTTGAGTCCATACAAATTTGAAGTTCTGTTCCGAATCTCCCCCCTGTCCCCCTTTGATCTGGATTCTTCTATGGAAGTTTTGATCAAAATGTTCAGTAATGGGAGTTGTCCACCATCCAGTTCTTCTGGTCTCTTGGCAAAGGAGACAGTTGTTGCTAGAGGCAACTAGTCATACATTCCATATCCTTGTATTTCGGCTCTCCTTACTCTTGCTCTATCTAGGTGAACAGAGATCAGTTGAGCCTTGGCTAGCTGCAGACACACTTTTAAGACCCCAGGCCCTACACAATGAACTAGGAGGTAGAACAGAAGCACTAGACGTATTATTAACGATTAACTGTAACGTCCCATGAAATTATGATCCTACATCTCCAAGGAACCCAGTCCCATCAGGTGTTTGGTAATAGTAATTTTGTTGTTGGTTTTTGTTTGTTTGTTTTTAATATTGTGTCCACTGTGGTAGTTTATACAGCCAATTAGGTTTTCATTTAACAATTGCCACACAGATTTCCTCAGTGATATTGGTTGTATTTTCTCATAATGTGCTATCCTTATTCATTCTGTTCTGGTTGGACCATTTCCAGCACCCTAGTTTCTCTGCCCCAGTACCCAGAGTGATTTTTGACTATTTGGTGGTTTTTTTGGAAGAAGCTCTTAATTCATGGCTGACCTTTATTTTCTGAGCCAATTTGTTTATTAGCTAAAAGGTGACCCCAAGGGATAATTTCATTTTAAGGTTTTTACAATGTTTCTCAGAGCAATAATCTTGGGTTTCCTCTAGTCCCAACCAGTCCAAGAAGTCTGAATGTTTTTAAAGAACTTGAGTTGTGTCCACATTTTCCTCCCATTCTGTAAAGGATCGATCTGTAGTGACTTGGACAAGTATGGTTGATAGTAGCTGTGTACTGTTTAGTTCTGCTCTCAGGATAGATGAGACCATGGCTTGTGAACTGTTAGCCTCTGAGTATTTGGTTTCTTTCTTTCTCTTTTGTTCCAGATGGTCACTAGCAAGCTTTTAAGACCACAGACATCATGATGTAGAACATACACATTGTGAACTGTATTATGACAGTTAACTGAGTTGTCCCATGAGACTGTGGTCTAAGCCTACAAACCAGTATGAGAGGTGTTTGATTATGTAAGAAGTAGCTATAACTGTGTCTTATGTTGATTATTGTCTATGGATTATCCTAGTTATCTAGTGCTACTATAACAGAAATGCCCCTTAAGTGGGGGCTTTAACAAACTTACTCTCTCACAGTTTGGGAGGCGCATTAACATCGTAGAGGTGAGGATTTACAACACGTAGGATAATTACATCAGGTCATCTGGGGGGGTGGTTGGGGTAGGTGCTTATGTCATTACTTAACCACGGAGAATTATGGCCCAGACCAGGTGAAACATATTTTGAGAGGACACAGTTCAGTCCATGACAGAGAGATATATGCATGTGCACACATACCTGTATGTACATATGCTTCTAGTGAACTATCTGTGCTCACATTTTCCCACATGTTCATATATACTTACATGCCTTGTACATATTTTTATAACCAACATAGTTTGAGTTGTTGCAAAATTATATTTGTTGTATCCTTAGCAAAAACATCATTTTCTCTTGTACACTTCGTAGTGACATTGTTTGCCAGATTGAGCTGTGGGCACTTGACCCCACTGGTTGCTGCCTTTCCCATCACCAAAACTAGAGAATATCTAGTCTGAAGAGTGCTTTCCCTCACCATCCCCTTCCCTGATAAACCACGAATGAGTGCTGGTCTCTCTCTTCTTCTGATAAAAGTATGATCATATATGATATGAGCAGGCTTCAAAAAGTTTGTGGAAAATTTCATTATTGTTTAATTCCATTTTTGGCCACAAACTTTTTGAAGCCGCCTCATATTTGTCCTTTTGTGATTGACTTATTTCAGCCAGCATTGGTATTTTTTGAGTCTAGCTGAAGAATATTCTGATGACCTGGGTTTTCATTGGCTATGTTTTAGAAATTATCCAGGCCTGTGTTCCTACTCTGTCTTAGTCCTCAAGCTCTGCTGAAACCTGTGCACTATGGGTGACTTTGCTGACATGTATGAAACATCAGTGGCGTAGCTTCCAGCATCATAGCAGCATGTAAGCCACCATAGGATGACACACTGACAGATAGTGGCAGAAAAAACACAATGACCTGTGTATAGAAAAAAGAGACGATTTCCAAATCTACCAAGGCTGAGTTGAATATAGGAACTTTTATACCCTTTCTGAAAAGCAGCTTATCAACAAATTTAGCAAGGGCCTTGATGTGCATATTAAGATCTTTCACTGTGTTTATCTAATAATCAGTTGATGGGCAGACCGTTGTGCCGTTTGTGATATATTCACAGTGGATATTTGGCCGCATCATTTTTTTTGGTTTGGAAAACATTCGAGATGGAATGTTTAGCTTTCATTATGTTGCTAAATCAGGGCATGGAGCTGTGTATGCACATGTAAAATTAAATATATAAATATAGTTATAAATAAGCTTTCAGTGTCTACAGAACAAAGCACTAGTAGAAAACACCCAAACTGTTAACACTGATAGTGTTCAAGCAAGTAAGATTATGAGAGGTGCTTCTTTATACTTCTCTATACTTTCAACTAATTTATAATGAACATGATGTGTTTATTCATCAATAGTGAGAAAATATACTTTAAAATATGATATTTTTGGACATTTCCTTTGAACTCAATAGAAGCAAATTGGCTGGGGAAATCAAATACCTTTCATTTTATTTAGGAAGAAGAGCTGAGAAAAGCCATTTTAGTGGTGTTTGCAAATAAGCAGGACATGGAGCAGGCCATGACTCCCTCAGAGATGGCGAACTCACTGGGCTTACCTGCCTTGAAGGACCGAAAGTGGCAAATATTCAAAACGTCAGCTACCAAAGGCACTGGCCTTGATGAGGCAATGGAATGGCAAGTATCAGGCTTCCAGAAGCTATCTGTCTACACACATGTCATTTCCCTGTAGTCTTGACAGGAAACTCAGATTACGTAGCAGCCTCTTCTCCATTGGTCTCTGTGCACGTCAGCCTTTATCCCACCCACGCCAGCCTAGATTACGGTATTCAGATAGGCTAGTTCTCAGCCAGGCTCTAGCTTTTCTTTGCCTCACTTCACCTATGTAGATGAAGTATCTCTTCTCAAGAGCCTTGGCTGCCATACCCCACTGCCTCATGACACACACCTAGCTCAATGGCCTGGTCACGGAGCTGCTGCCGCCCAGTATTTGTGCCCCTGTCTTATTTGTGCATTTGCTTAGTAGATGATCAGCTCCTTGCAGACTGAGACCTACCCTCGTCTAGCTCAGCAGTAGTAGTAGCCTGGAGGATAGCAGTTATATGGTTTTTTTAATAATCCAGTCAAAGACTAGACAACTTCTGAGCTAAATATTGTTGTTAGTGGCCAGTGAGCCAGTTCCAACCCATGGCAACCCTGTATGTGCAGGGTAACATGCTCCAGGGGTTTTCAAGGCTGTAACCTTTGGAAGATCAGCAGGCCTTTATTCCAAAGCACCACTGGATGGGCTCAGACTGTCCACTTTTCAGCTTGTAGTTGAGTACTCAACTGTCTAACCTGTTCTCATCTTGTTTTCCTTCATCATTTTAAATGCTTTGGAATTTACTCCTAGTTAAAACTTAATGGTCATCCTCTATACTCGAAATTAAGTTCCTGAAGTTAATCTTACCACGCTGTTCATTTTCTCTTCACAGGTTAGTTGAGACATTAAAGAGCAGACAGTAATTGGGCTGCTTCTGCAACTCTGAAACAAAAGTTACATCACGAATCCCTTTGGAAACCATCAAGTGTGGGTCACACTACTCGAGGTTAAATCCACATGATGACTGGCATATACAGGACTGACTACAGTGTTTGTAATAAATACGGAAAATGAGTATTTGGTTGGTGGGGTAATTCATCTTGATTGAACCAACTGAATGTCTCTCCTTTGTAATATAAAACCTTGTTTCTTTCCTTTCTTGTGTTAAGACATATATTCTGTTTGTATGGAACTCTTGATTTAAATATAGTCCTATTGAAGAATGCTTTCTTGTTGGGGAAAGAAATTTATTTTGGAATTAGTGACTGAAGGTTATTTGTGGAAACACTAAGAAATAACTCTGATTTTATTTTTCCCTAAAAAGAATTTAGTCGTCCCAAAGATTAGACTTGGTAGAGTAGGCTAGGAACATAGTGTTTGTGTAATATAGTCTTCATTTGCTTAACTCACTATGTTAAGCCATTTATTTGAAAAGTTTTTGACTATAGGCATGACTTTGAAATAATTTTAGTAGTTAACTGCACTAACTTACCTGTAACGGTTGTTTTGTAGTGCTTTATAGTTTTCAGCGCATATCCGATGCATAGTGACCTACTTGATCTGTGTAGGAATCCTGTGAGACAGGTAGGACGCGCTGTAGTTCTTCATTTTGTGGACCCAGGTCTCTAATAGAATGGCACAAAGTCATGTGCTAGTAAAGGGAATAGCTCAAAGCAGGATTTTGGGATCAGGAGCTTGTTCCATGTGCTACATTATGTTGTTAAGGACTGTTGAGTCAATTCTGACTCATAGCAACCCTGCATAGGGTTTCCAAGGAGCCACTGGTGGGTTTGAACCGCCAGCGGTGCAGTTAGCAATCACGTGCATATCCTACAGCACTACATCAGGACTCTTGTACTATATCATATATTCCTGAAAATGCCAAGATTCACCAGAGAGACAACTCTTAAATGTAATTATGCTAATTGAATTAGTCAAAATACATTCAAGATAAAGTCTGTTTAAAAAAAAGTAGTAAAAATGATCAATGGCAGAGGAAGTGAAATGACTGTGAGGTTATATGACACATTGAGAAAATAACTGACATTAAAGTTGAAAAAGGCCTATTTAAGAGACAGTACATACCTTTTATTTCACTCTAATTGCATGCGTTAATTGATAAAACGTCTTAATCTTACAAATTCTAAGATGAATTAAGTATTCCTGATTTGAAAAATTAGGCTTACTCTTAAATTACCAGATTGGTTTAAACTGAATTATTGTGAAAAAGGAACTTTTCAAACGACCCAGTCTGCCCAGAATTTACTACAGTGTAGCAGAGTAACGTAAACAAGCAAACCTGCTGCCAGCAAGTGGATTCCAACTCAGATGCCCCATAGGTCAGAGTAGAGCTGCCCGCAGGGTGTGTGCACATCTGTGGGAGCAGAGGGCCCCAGCCTCTCCTGCAGTGCAGCTGGTGGAGTTAACAGTTGAGTGCTTTACCATTGCACCACCAGGCTCTGCAGTGGTATTATGTGAATATGATTGCTAGTAATCACTAAGATTGGGGAGAGCATTATTCAAGTTGGACGGCCAACAACACAACTGGTGCAGGTGAAGGTCACTAATAGCATACTGTATGTATCGACACAAGCGCTTAGGGTCCTGCCCCTGCCTCCTTTCTGGGCTCACCGGTTTGGGTTTGGCCTCTTCTCACCTCAGAGGAATGCCACTTTCTCGCCTCTTGCTGGCTTTTACTCTTCTTATTCATTCCCCAAGACCCATTTCTAATTTGGTCTCATTGAAATCTTCCTCCCAGGACAAGCAGGTGTTCCCAGTGCACTGTGTCGTAATGGGCAGAGCACATGGTGTCATAGTCTCTAGGTCACTCCTCATGGGGAAAGACTTGTTCAGATTGATAGCCCTGGTTTTGCTTTTTTGGATGGGAACGTCCATAGTGGTTTCACCGAGTATATTCATAGATAGGCTATATCATACATAGTCTGCTAGGAAAATGGTAATTCGACTTGGCTTCCCTTCTGATCAGTGTCACTTGCCTGGGAGATAGCTGGGGTGCTGGTAGCACGTGTCTACTCTCCAGAGGTTCAGGAACAGTAAATAGAAATGTTGGGGATTAGAGTCGGTGGCTGAATACTGGGGACAGGAGGGAGGTGACAGAGCAGCACTGAACTCTGGGTAGGAGAAAGGACAGCATAAATAGGATGCATGTTTGTTTTCAGTAAATGTAGAGACAGACAGGTGGCTTTTCTAGCAGGAAACAACTGCACAGACAGCTTCAGGAGTTTGACTTGATATTTACAAAATGTCAATATTCTGTGAGAAGGCACTGAGGTGGGAAAACTGTCAAACTTGACATTGAACACGGGCTGGACACAAGCTGCCATTCCTTTGTTCAGTTTCTTTTCAAGAAAAACAAAAATGGGAAATGATACCCAAGGTTTCTTGCAGTTCTAAAATTCTATTTTATAACTGGTTGGTGGTAGTGCTGTGTCATGTGATCCCACTAGCTGTAATCAAAAAATAAGACGTTGGAATTACTTTTGTCTGGATCCCTGAGATGCACTTTAAACTCTGGAAATGTAAGCTCTCTGAGGGCAGGGGTTCCCCCCTAGTGCTGTTTATCCCCTGCGTCTAATGTGGGGCACTTGGCACATGGTAGGCACTCAATAAATACTTATTAAAAAACAAATTTGTGCTATCCCTGAGGTGTTTGCTCTCTCTCATCTTTAGTATTAACGTTTGCTTTTTGTTTTTCATCTTTTTATTATTAAAGCAGTAAGTACATGCACTTAATTAAAAAGGTTTGAGTGGGGAAAGAAACAAAACACCAAAAACTGGAGGTTGCTACTCTCAGTTTGTAGCTATGGTCTCTTGGACAGTCCCTCCTTATTTTTATTTAATTTGCATCTACCTCTTAAATCTCGGTTTTATAATATATTACGGCTTCTGCTAATGGTATTGAAGTATAAGTTCTCCTAGAAGCTCTTCCTTTCTTCACCCCCTTCCCATTTACAGATTTTTTCTTTAATCTTCCCAACATAGCCATATTCCATTTGTCGGGTAAGTCAGTTTTGCTATTATTATGACCATAAACATTTGTTTACAAATAGTATACTATCTAGTACCAGATAGTAAACTATGATTATAGATGTGGGGGATTCCAAAAGTTCATGGAAATTTTTCATTATCTTTTAATTCAATTGGTAAACAAATTTTATGAAGTCCCCTTGAATAGTACATCCTATTAATTTTTCTTGGAGTTGAAAATTACTTTTCCTAAAAAAATTGCTTAGGTTGCTGTTTTATTTATTCTAATGTCTCGTAAAAGACATATTCACGTCCTAACCTTGTTTGGAAATAGTCTTTGCGATATTACTATTAGGGGTCATACTGGAGTAGACGTCATCTCCGTCATGTGACAACATAGTCAGGTGCATTACTCCAATCTCTGCTTCCGCTGTCACATGGCATTCTCTTTCGTCCCTTGTGTAGAGATACCAGTCATACTGTGTGAGAGCTCACTACTGACCACATTGAACTTGATTGAATTTGAAAAGACCATTTCCAAATCAGACTCTTGGTGTGGCGCTGTAGGATCAGCACTGCACGGTGAGCCACAAGATTAGCAGTTCAAAACCACCAGATGCTCCTTGGAAACCCTACGTAGACTTGCTTTGGCACTTAACATTTCCAAATAAGGCCACATTCACAGGTACCAACGATCAGGGCCCTGAGTTTCTGTATATCTGGAAATTAATTTTTATTCTAATCTCAATTGATAGGCTGGCTGGGTATAGATTGCTAAACTGAAAATACTTTTCCTTCAAGCCTTGACATTGCTCAGCTGCCATTCAGTAGTGTTGCTATGAGAAGTCTGATGTCTGTTCATGTGCCCTTGCATGTGACTTGTTTTCCTTTCTGCTGACATTTAGGATTGTCACTTTTTCCATGCCATTTCATTTCATGAAGATTTGCCTTTTTCAATGTGCTAAGCACTTGGTACCCACCAATCTGTTTGTGTTAGAAAAGGCATTCTTCCATGGACCCTGAACACCCCGGCACATTGTTTCTGGGTTCGTCAACCTGCAAGGCCAACTTGTCCTTTGACCCCAAGTAATTTTTGTATTGTCACAAGCAATTGCATCGTTCAAAATGAAACCAAAATAACCATGCTGTTGTTTGCTCCCCAGGAAAGGCGACTGGCCTTTGTTTATTGAGCCTTAGCTCTGGATATTCAGCTGTCATCCTGAGGACCAGGGAACCAGTGCCACCATGCTCACGGCCCTACTTTTGAGCTGTGCTGTGAGCAATGATCTGCCTTGCTCTGGTCCGTCACCAGTGGAGATTGCAATTCTTCCCTGACAATCGCCATAGCAAGCATGGTGCTGAGAGATTTATTGGGAAGAAAAGAAGGCAAGAGTACCTTTGACTGGATTTGGGGGTATGAAGAAGTTAGTAGCTGTTGCTCTTGTCCATGGGCAAGGGAGAGTTGGTGGTGGAATGAATGATTCCTTGCTGTCCACCTGTTAATTGATATAGTCAGTGGAAAGAGGTTAGTTAAGCAGTGAGAGGTAGGACTGAAACAAGCCGTTAAAAGGGTACCATGTTAGTTGCTCTCAGCCCTGCTTGGACAAGTATTACTAAGTTCTTTAAGTTCTGCTCAAAGACCCACTACTCCACCAGTAATCCTTGGCCCCAGAGCACTCATTTCTAGCTTTGTGGGCTGGTAAACCTAGTTCCCACCCGATCAGTCCTCAGAGGTACCCTATTCCACCAGCAACTCTCCTGTCCAAAGTCACTCAATTTTCTATCTGTGGATCTTTTCCAGTCTATTGGCTAGGTAGTTGTCTTCCAAATTTCTTGAGTCAGTGCCTCTAGTGCTACATCAGTTTGTTGAAAGATTGCAATTTGTATTCCACCAATTCCCTGAGCCTTATTCTTTGCCAGTGACTTCAACGCATATTGGATTTCTTCCTTCAGGATCACTGGCTCTTAATCATATACTACCTTTTGAAATGGTTGAACATTGACCATTTCTTTTTGGTAAAATGACTCTATTTATCTTCTTTTGATGCTTTCTGCTTCATTCAGTATTTTGCCCATAAAATTCGTCAATATTTTAGGCTGAGGCTTGATTTTTTTATTTCAGTTTCCTCAGCTTGAGAAATGCTGAGCATGTCTTCCCTTTTGGTTTTCTAACTCCAGGGCTTTACACATTTCATTATTCTCTAGCTGCCCTTTGATCTACCATTGTACTCTAGCCCAGTGGCCACTGATCCATTGGACAGGTCTGGGTACCTCTGGGTATGACTGGGTGCAGGGAGAATATGTGGCCATGAGGAGGAAGCAACTCTGGTACCCAAACCTTAGACCCTGGGAGACCTCAGATCTCGCACTGTAGCCTTGCAGAACAATTAGCAGATTGCCTGAGCCAGACAGCAGCGTTGGCAGGCAATCAGATCTATGGCTATGAAAACAAACATGCATGTAGACTGGCTGGTCTGACGGGTGTCTGATGTCATCAGTGGCATAGCCTGAACACAGGTTCTTCTCATACACAAACACAAGACTAGTTCACATTGGCTTCTGTCTGACACAGTCTTGCTTCTGAGGCCTGATGGCCTTGGGTTATGGCACTTATGACTATCAAGGCTGCAACCAATTGTGTCAGTGCCCTAATCACTGTGCTGATACAAACCAGGCTTCACCACCAGCCTGGAACCGGAGTCACCTGAGCTTTGGAAGATCTTTGTGTGGGGGGGAGAATGGGCAGCAGGTGTCATTCTACTGGAGATGTTATTAAGTGCCACTGAGTTGGTTCTGACTCTTAGGGAGTCTGCATAGGTTTCCTAGGAAGGACCGGTGTGTTTGAACCTCAGACCTTGCGATTCAAACTGACCTTGCAGTCTAGCGCATTGCGTTTGAATCGCAAGGTAAGCGGTTCAAGCTCATCAGTCACTCCTAGGAAACCCTATACAGGGTCACTATGGGTTGGAATTGATAGCACTAACAACTTTTGATGAGGTCCTAGTTTGGCACTGTAGGATGCGCACTGACCTGCTAACCATGAGGTTGGTTCAAACCCACCAGCCACTCCTTGGAAGCTATACAGGGTCGCTAAGTCAGAACCAACTTGACAGCACTTAACATTGCCTTTGGGTAGGAACCTTGGTAGTGTAATGGATGAGCATTCAACTCCTAACCCAAAGGTCAGAGGTGGCTGTGTAGGAGAAAAGATCTTTAAGATCTTCGGTAAAGGTTTATAACCTAGGAACCCCTATGGATAGTTCTCTGTTCTCTGAGTGCTGAATTGGAATCAATCTGATGGCATAAAATACTCACTTTGAGTCCACCAGTTGCTCCCTGGGAGAAAGATGAGATTTTCAGCTCCCACAAAGATTGACAGCCTGCAAAACCCTTTACAAGGGTCCCTATAAATCGGAATCAACTTGACGGCACTTAACAATTACATTCAGGTGTTGAGAGTCAGATGTTCTGCAGGCACCGAAGTTACTAAGTTAGTCACCACTTTTCCAACTCCTTCATTTTCTTATTTTTCAAATTTCTTATCCATTTGAGTTTTCCTTCCATTTAAGAGGAATTTGGAAAGTGGTGGCCACGGAACTGTCCCTCTAGAGAGCTGATAAGGAACTCTGGTAGCATAGTGGTTATGAATCGGGCTGCGAACCGGAAGGTCAGCAGTTTGAAACTACCAGCTGCTCTGTGGGAGAAAGAGGAGGCTTTCTGCTCCCGTAAAGATTTAAAGCCTTGAAAACCCTGTTCAGGGTCGCTATGGGTCAGAACCGACTTGACAGCACTTAACAACAGAGAGCTGATACGGATATCATAAGGATAATTTACTTGGAGGCAATGATGCTATATGGTGGTGGTGGCTGTGTGCCGTGGAGTCGGTTCTGACTCAGAGACCCCTGTACAAGGTTTCCGAGGCTGTAAATCTTTACGGGAGCAGAACGTCTCTTCTTTTTCACATGGAGTGGCTGGTAGATTAGAACTGCTGACCTTGTGCTTAGCAGCCCAGTTCCTAATCCACTATGCTATATCAGGGGCGCCTTATGCTATATGTAGGTGTCTCTAATGTTTCTCAAACTTTTCAACCAAAAATCCGTAAAACGAAGGTAAATAAATTCTCAGCTCAAGTGGCCTGCAAATCTTAGTATTGCTGTTGTAAAATTATGTATGTTATTTACTGTTACCCTTTGTGTGTACCTCTGTCTTCCTTTACCTGGGTCACATTGTTTGGAATTTCCCTCTATTGTGTATTGCGTTTCCCTTCACCAGGATTAGCATATGTCTACTTGTGTGGTGCTGTGGGTTAATGCACTGGACTGCAAGGTCAGTTTGAACTGAAGGTCAGTGGTTGGAACCAACTCAACGTCACTTAACAACAAATAACTCTCTAGTTGGGAGCGGATGATTCTGTAGGATAAGTTGGCAGTTGGACCACACCACCTACTCTGTGGAAGGAAGATGAGGCTTTCTGTTCCCGGAAATCCTTTAGCAACAACAATCTACTCCCTTTGCTCCTCCTTTCATCCTGTCCCGTTGATTCGGGCTCATAGTGACCCTATATAGGGTTTCCAAACCGTTGGTGGACACTTCAGCTGTTGTGAATAACACTGCAATGAACAGGTGCGTACACTTCCTTAACGGCTTCTGATGTTGTTGTTGTTAAGTGCCGAGTCGGGTCCAACCCATAGCGACCCTGTACGGGGTTTCCGAGGCTGTAAATCTTTACGGGAGTAGAAAGCCTTATCTTTCTCCCGCGGAGCGGCTGGTAGTTTTGAACTGCTGACCTTAAGGTCCGCAGCCCGATTCGTAACCACTATGCTACCAGAGATAGTGTTATTATTTTCTCCATAAAAGTACCACATTACCTTTTGTTAAGTGTATTCTTTATTTCTTTTGCATTTCTCATGCTATTACAAACTGATCTTTTTTAAAATTAAATATGACTGTAAAGTCTTTAGTGCTAGTGTCATGTGGAGCCCTGGTGGGATGCTGCAGGATAGGGGGGAACATCTGGCCATGAAAGCATTTGGTCTGGCCCTCCCAAGGCAACCACAGTTCCAGCTGTCACATTGTTGTTATATGCCATTGAGTCGATTCCGATCCATGGCGACCCTGTATAACGTTTCTGAGGAGCAGCTGGTGAGCTTGAACCGGTGAGCTTGAGCCACCGATCTTGCAGCTCAAACGGCTTTGCAGTCTGGCGCATTAACCCACAGCACCACATCAGGACTCTAGCCATCACATTAGGGGTGAGTTAAAGGTTTGACTAAATACAGCAGGCTAAATTTTAAGTTGATCATTTTGTATGGCCCACAAATGTTATAAATTTTGGCAGAAGAAAGCTTCCCCACCCTGTTGTTGTAGGATTAGCATTAGACTATGTCTAGTGGTTTGGCATTTCAGACTGACCAGTTGCTCTAGGAAACCCTATGAATCAGCACTGACTCAGCAGCACATGACAACAAAAATGCCATGTGCATTTTAGACAGTGAAGACATGTTTATGAAATGTCTTAAGCATGTTTAATTGAAAAAGTCATGATCATGATTATATACATTATACAATCTATGCGAAAGTTTAACTTACATATATAAAACCCATACAACTGGGAGTGATTTTAGACTACAGAAAACACAGGAAGACTTGTGCTTCGGGGCCAGTGGGCACGCTGGTGTGAGCCCCAGCTTACTGCCAGCTCCGGGCGCCCTTTACTCCACCATCGCTAAATCCCTCAGACTCTGGCTCTTCTGCCTCTTGGCCTTGTAGCCAGGACGCAGGAGTTCTATTTTTCTCTTCTTTGCTTCACTTTTATTTTTGTGTTTCTTCAGCTTTTTCTTGGCAGCAATATCAGGATTAGTTACAAACTTGAAAAAAGAATAGAGATTTTGTATTACTTTTAAAGCTAATGTTAAATCAGTTAAATTAGACACAGAAAAATGTCCCACTTTGTTTACTTTGGAATCATGAATATAACACAAGCTTGTTAAAAAAAATCTTTGGAGACTAGAAAAAAGCCCAGCTACTACATTCCCAATTCTGCTCCTACTCAGACACCAACCCATCCCTCTCTCCTTCCTCTGTGCACCACACACACACACACACACACACACACACACACACACGGTTACAGTGATTCAATCTAGTGAACATGTGACATTTTTACACAACAAATTTACCTCCAGAGCCTTCCTCTTTTTCCGGAGTGCCCTTTTCTGATTTGCCTGTTTCTGTACAGACGCAAAGGCTAATGAGAAGCTCTCGAGCCCAACGAGCTTTTTGAGTAATTCTATGATTTCCTGGGATAGATTCTTCAGCAAAGGATCTAATCATACACAGAGAGTAATGGTCAGAGATAGCCAATTAAGAAAGGGCACGCTGAAACAACACAATCAACAAGATAAAAAATGGAAGCACTGTAGCAGCTTTATCACTTCCATTAATCCAACATTAAACAAAGATTTAAAACCAGCCTCGATGTTTCTGAGATTGGACGAGGAAGCAGCATCGCCCCATGGCGTGCAGGACACAACAAGAGTTAGAGACGTGGGCCTCCTGACCGTGAGGATCCTGGCTCTAAAGAGAGTCATTGCAGAGCTGATGGAAATGCTTTGGTTGCATTTATTAACTGCTCAAGCTCTGTGCAGGCAGGAAGAATGAGGGTTTCTAGCCTTTCCCTAATCCACAAAACACAGCCTCAACTCTGCCCAAGAGACCCTTTGTTTTAAATCCAAGACTCCTTTGAGAATCTGTTGAACAGCTATGCTTTCCCATTCTCCCTTGCTCCTTCTCCCAAAGGTAGAGAACACCTGAAATTCAGGACACCTGCAGCGGACTGGAAGTTTCTCGAAGGCAGGAACTGTGCCTGCTCCATTGCTGAGCCCACTGCTCCTAACTAAGTGCCCATCACACCTGAGGTGCTAAAGGACAACTACAGCAGACCAGAAACGGCCCTGTCAGCAGCCTGCGCTGTCCCTTTCTTTGCCTGTTCGCTCCAGTGCCCACATGGTCTGAGTGCCTGGACACAGTCCTCTCCAGGAAGCATGAATGGCACAGCTTCTGCTCTGACAAACAGCCAATGTGTCTGATTTCTCAACTGCTTTTACATCCCCTTTACCTCCTCTCTTTCCAAAACCAAATCCTCTATTAGCAACAAAGACAATCAGGATCAATGAGAGAGCACTGTGTCCCTGCGCTTATACCCTGAGGGTTGCTGGAGAGGAAAGGCAAAGGGTACTCTTAAGGAGCTCTAGTAGTGTAGTGGCTACTAACAGGCTGCTAAACTCAAGGTCAGCAGTTCAAAACTACCAGTTGCTCCAAGGAAGAAAGATGAGGCTTTCTGCTCCGGTAAAGATTTACTGCCTCAGAAATCCCCATGCAGGATTGCTGAATCAGAACCAACTCCATGGCACATCACCACCAAGAGTACAAGGCTGTCTTTTAAGAGAGAAACATTTACTCTTAGATAGAAGATTAACAGTCATGTTCAGATATGTGCGAGAGGGCAGTCAAATAGAATACAAATATGCTTTATTTATTTTCTATTAGTTATCTTTACACCTAACACCTTCTTTCTAACAACTTTTCTGGTGTAGACAGAGAGCAAGGAAGACGTTGTAAGATGTAAAGTTACCTTGCTCCGAGTAGGTGCTGTTCAGTTCTCGATACAAAGGCGCTATGATCATGGGCAGGTACAGCTTCACCTTGTCTTCTCCCAGATCCATTGCTATGGCTCCAAGAAACTTAAAGATGCATGTTCTCTGAAAGCACAGAGCACACGTCATGTGAAATGCCGCTCGCACACTTACAGTCATACAAACCCACAGACCTATTAACTGGGTACAGGGTTCCTTCTCTTTGGGAACTGATGTTACTGCTGGAGTTTGGGGCTCAAAAGGTAGAGTTCCTAGGGGTAGTTTTCCCAGTGAGGATCACTCATGCCAATTAAAATACTGTTCTGAAGTGCTGCTTAATCTTGGTTTATGAACACTGACTTCCAATCACTCTGCACCCTGACGGCACCTTTAAGGGGTTTCTAGGTGAATAAGCAGCTTCCAGTTTTGCCATCCGGGACAACTTGAGGATCAACCAGAGCAGCGTGGCGGGCTTGCTGGGCTCTGCCTTCGCGTCTTTGTTCTCTTCCTTGTCAGACTCTGCTTGCTCGTCTGCACAGGCCTCCTGTCCTTCCCTTTCCTCGTTGGACACATCATCTCCTAGCGCTTCTTGTTCTTCCTTGCCTTCTTCCGTCTCACCTTGCTTATCGTCAGAATCAGGTACCAGTAAATACAAGACTTTGGCTACAAACAACAAATTCTTAACAACCTTAAAAAAAAAAAGGAGGAGGGGGAAAGGAAAGGAATTAGACTTTGATTTTGAAATACATTTGACTTGGTAAAGCAGATGCTAAAATATATATTCCACAATGAGCAAATAAAAACTGATTAAACTGATGAATGTTCCATGTCTCAACCAATCTCAAGTTCTTCACTGTAGTGTGTCCAAACCCATCTCCATGTCTCTTTTACCCAACTGGCCCTTTTAAGGCACACTGAGTAAAGGATTTCCTTTCTGATCATCTGTTTATATTTTTAAAGAGTACTATCACTGTCCCCACCCCCACCCCCAATCATTCCTCATAAGATAACAACGTTCATTTATTAAGCGGTGCTGCAGGATAATGCGCTGGGCCGCAAGGTCGGTGGTTCAAATCCACCAACCCCTCCTCAGAAACCTTAGACAAAGCCACTATGACTTGGAATTTAATTGACAGCACTTAACAACAACAAGAAGCTGCTTTATATGGATTCCTGGTGTGGCGCTGTAGGATCACCACTGGTCTGCGAATCCCAAGGTCAGCAGTTCAAACCCATCAGCTGTTCCTCAGAAACCCTGTACAGAGTTGCTATGAGTCGGCACCTACTTGAAGGTACTTTAACAACAAGCTGCTTTATATACAGGGTTCCCAGTTTGACCTTAACATACCTCTGCCAGGTACTATTGTTAAGTGCCGTCAAATTGGTTCCAATTTATACAGCAACTCTGTATAGGGTTTCCGAGGAGGTCACTATCACCAGAAGAGAACACCAAGGTTTATTCACAAAGACACTGAGTGAGTGGGCAATAAGGATTCAAAGGGCTTTAGAATTGAAGACCAAATTCTTAAGGAAGGATTTTAGTTTTAAAAACAATGAAGCCATTATTTGTTTATTTATGGAGGCATTTCACATCCATTCTGTAGCCAAGTGCTTAATTGCTGTGGCAGGCAGGGCTCCTTCTACTACTGGTGTCTGTCCACCTTGGCAGTATTTCTTTGGCTCCATTTCACCACTTTCCCCAACTCGGCCAGATGACAAATGCATGTTCAATTGCATTGAAAAAGGTGACAGAATTCACAGTGTTTATGGCATGTCACTTCGACCTTTCTGTAGATATAGGCATTCAACTAATTTCTAGTGCACTATCGTTTCATCTCCATTGTTCCTTCATGTCCAAAGTGACTCATGGGAGACGGGCCTTGTTCCTATCCAGTTATCACATCTATGCCAGCTGGCAGCTGCCAGCCCAAATGCTTTATCTAAAGAAAAAACAATGCAAGTAAGCAACAGGGCAGTTAGCCAAGAGTAATTGATATTTATTGTGTATTGATAAATGGCTTCCCTAGATTTACATTTAATTTATAGCTACTTTTTATAAAAAGAAAATATATAAAGTGTTTTGGCAACGGAAAGATGAAAAGCTTCAGTTACACTGTGGAATGGGTATGTTAAGACTGAAGATGAAAACTCATGCTGCACCATCTTTATAGGAAATTTAAAACAGCCAAGAGTAACCCCAACATGGACAGGTATCTGAGTGTATGCTCATATTTCATCCAAAACAAGTGCCAATTATGAGCCTATTTATCCCTCAACTATTGGGAGAAGTCCCTTGTATTATGCTGGTATTATTAGAATTCTTACCTGCTCGCCTAGAGATTGATCCAAAAATTTAGAATGCAGCTGATGGCAAGAAGCTAAAGAGATACTTTTCATCTGTGAAAAGAAAATGTACGTTGACATATGTGCATTGGCATAGATTGTAGAATGTAGTACATTTAAAAAAAAAAATTTTTTTTTAACGAACCAACTGTAATATTACACCCCAAGGTACTAGGTTATGCTCTGAAGACCACTTGTGTAGACCTAGAGAGAAGATTCACGACTAAACATTGTATAACTAACTGTTTCTACTGCCCTGCCCCAAGCATTTCATACCAAAATAAAACCTGGATATTCACAAGCTTGGGAAAGTATAGGTTAATAATCCCTTAGATTACTAGTAGAACACTTGGTATCATTCCAAATTTTTCCCTTCCTCTTTTCCGCCCTTTCATCCTCCTTCACTTAATATTCATGAGCCACCAGGAACCAGGCCTTGTGCTGGGCCTGGGAAATGATGAAGAAGAAATCACATGGTCCCTACATTAACAGTGTCATGAACAAGGGCTCATTTAGCCTTTTACCAGGCTAAGAAGGAAACAGGATAGATCTTAATCAATCTTATGTAAATATCAATCTTACTTTCCACTGTTGGTAAAGAACTCTATACATAAATCAGAAGACGAATGGGCTAAATAACCAAGTCAAAAACCTGATGAGGCTGGCCATTTGAAGAGCCCTGGGCACGCCCTCTCTAGTCACCGACACCCCGATGCTTCTGTGCATGCACAGACAGGCTGGGAAAGTCTCTCCCAGGGCCAGGGTCAGGCCCAGAATGAGGGCCTCGCACAGGTTAGTCACAAGGGAGGGAAGAGGTTTCGGAGAACGTTTACCTTTTGGTCAAGATCGCCTGTTAGGAACTTGACTGCTGCAGGTTCTGGGAGCTTCTTTTTAGTCTTTTTGGCATTCCATTTTCCAATAAGCTCTTCTGGCTGGCAGGAGGCAAAGAGCAAGCCAAAAATCTGGGCTGCGGTGAGCCACACCCAGTTGTGTGGATGCCTCAAGTGAGCGTGTACGTGACCTACGGGAAACAAAAGATACCTACAGATGTCTTACAGCTTTCTTGGGGTTTGGTGGTAAATTGTGAAACTGTTACAGAGCCCTAGTGGCACTGTGGGTTAGGCAATGGCCTGCTAACTACAAGGTTCAAACCTACCAGCCACTCCTTGGGACAAAGAGGAGGCTGTCTGCTCCTGTAGAGATTTACAGTCTTGGAAACCCTATACAGAGTTGCTGTGTGTCAGAACTTGACACATGGGTTTGGTTTTGGTACAATTGTTGGCATTTATGACCATGATCTGCTATGTGTTTAAGGCTGGGAATACAAGATGAACAAAATAAGCTGCATGAAGTTCATAGGGGCCAGGGGAGATGGGCGAGGGAGAGACACTGGAAAGAATATGAGGAAGTCAGGAGCCCTGGTAGTGCAGCAGGCAAGCACCCAGCTGCTAATCAAAAGGTAAGCGGTTTGAAACCACCAGCTGCTCAACGGCAAAATGCCATGGCAGCCAGCTCTGTACAGATTACAGCCCTGGACACCTGTGGGTCAGCGCAATGCTGTCCAATAGGATGCTATGAACTGACTCGATCGAGGTTAGCAGAGGAATGGACACACAAATAACCCTAAGAATAGACCAGTTACATAACAACTAGCTTCAGTCAAGGGCAATAAGGTGGTATTAATAGTTACATGTTTATTTCTAATAAATTCAAATTACATTCACTGCCATCGGGTCAATTCTGACTCACAGTGACCCAGTATAGGGTTTTGGAGACTATAAATCTGTATGCAAACAGCCTCATCTTTCTCCTTCAGAGACGCTGATGGATTTGCCTGCCGACCATGAGGTTAACAGTCCGATGCTTATTCTACAGTGCCACCAAGGCTCTAAGATGTTGAGTAGAAAGCTACCATTTAAGGAAGATTTTCTAGATACTAGGTACATATGTGGGGGCGTCAGAAAGCCTGTGGAAAAATTCCAGTATCTTTTCATTCTATTTTTTCCTGAAGTTTTTGAAGTTCCCGCATATTACCTCACTTAGAACTCACAGCAACTGTGAGGCTGGAGTGGCATTTTTTCTTACAGATGAGGAAACAGGATCCAGACAAGCTGTAAAGGCAAAGCCAGGCCTGACTCCGCTACACCTTAGGCCAAAGCTCATAAGCTTAAGTATTAAGTTCATATATCAAAGTCAGTCAATTCATTCAGTGGTTATAATGTAGGTGCAGGGGAAGAAGACCAAAATTCTGCATTAACCACATTATATATTTCTCAGTTTTAGTCTATGCTCCTGGTGGGGCATTGTAGGATCAGCACTGGACTGCGAACCACACCTGCTGCTCCTCGGAAACCCTATACAGAGCCTCTATGAGTCAGAATCGACTCAATGGCACTTAACAACAACAACTATGTTTTTAAGAACATGGTTATGATTTTGCTCTGTTGGAATCTCTATAATAATCTAGTCATATTTCAGTGGAGCCATCCCAGAGTATGTCGCACATTAACAAGTAAGTTATTTCTCACAGGATTAGAGTTCAGGCTCTTAACCGGTAGATCTATCAAATGTTCATGCCCATGTCTATTTTCTACTGACTCATACCAATGGATAATAAACAAAAATACAAAAACAAAACAAAACAAAAAACACTCATTTTTCACTTAAAGAGTGGTATGTGGACAGATATGTTGATATGTTCTTTGTGAAGATGAATGCAATGCCATTCCTCTTCAATTTGTCATTCCTGGCATAGTAAACCATGTGATTGTCAGATTCAAAATGGCCAATACCAGTCCATTTCAGCACACTCATGCCTAGGATATTGATGTTTATAAGTTCCATTTCATTTTTGACAATTTGAAATTTCCCTGGATTCATACTTCATATATTCAAGGTTCCAATTATCAATGGATGTCACAGCTGTTTCTCTTCATTTGAGTTGTGCCCCATCAGCAATTGAAGGTCCTAAGGGCTTTACTCCATTTGCATCATCATTCGTGTTGTCAGGGTCAACTCTACTTTGAGGCGGCAGCTCTTCCCCACTTGCATTTTGAGTACCTTACAACCTGAGGGGCTCATTTTCTGTCACTATATCTGACAGTGTTTCACTGCTATTTATTTATAAAGCTTTCAGTGACCAAATATTCGGAAGTAGTTCATCTCTTCTCCTTCCTAGTCTGTCTTCGTCTAGAAGCTCAGGTGAAACCTGTCCACTATGGGTGACCCTGCTGGTATTCATAATACCCGTAGCATAGCTTCCAGAATCACAGCAACACACAAGCCGTCACAGTACAACAAACTGACAGACAAGGGGTGAAGAACTTGACTGAGGAAGATAAAGGAATTTGATAAATGAAGCAAATGTAAATTGCTACAATTTGATGAACTTGATCTATTCTTATGGATGTATTAGCACAAAATACCAACCAAGATGGAAGAAGTCTTGACATCAAGGATCAAGCCTATACCCTTGGTACACAGAGTTGACAGGAATGGGGAACTTACTGGTTACCTGAAATGTGGAGGAGGGCTATAAAAGCATAAAGTGGCTGGCTTACAAGTTTTCAAGATGGAGTTAAGTTTCAGAGTGTGTAGGATAAGGTGGAATCCCTACTGAATAGTTTTCATCTTGTCTAGATGGATCTGGTGAAAGGAGATGGGGATAGAATTCTTTTGATTCAATAGTGAGTTATTGTTATCATGACTAATTATGATCCTCACAACTATGAAGGTTTTGCATCATAAAGAGAATAGTAGTAAATCTTACATTCCAGGAACAGAGGACCCTAGGACCATCAAGAGAGAAGAACATGAGCAGAACATGGGACCCTAAAAAGAAAACAAGGACACCAGATATGGAGACAGAGCACCTTAAGGACTCTAGACTCATGGAAAGAGAAAGGCTGTGTGCTGGTGGCCAAAGAGGCAGGCTTGCAGAATGTTCCCTTAGTTGTACAAATGGTTACATATTCCCAGTGGTTTTGTGTACCTTAAAATAAAACAAAACAAAACACAGAGAGAATAGAAGCAAATACTGTTAAATTATGATGCATGAAAGGGATTATAATCATTGAAACATTATAATCAATGAAACAAAATATGATGAGTGCAAAACTGATGTTTTCTGATGTAAATGATCACTCAATTCACAATAATAGCTTTTATAAAAAATTCAAAGAGAAAGGAGTGATATGTGATATATATATGTTGTTGTTAAGTGCCATCGAGTCTGATACATACACACACACACACATATAGTGCTGGTTTGGCACTGTAGGATAAAAGCATTGGACTGCAAGGTCAGTTTGAATCACAATGTTGACAGTTCAAACCAGGCACTCCTTGGAAACCTTTCACATGGTCAATGTAAGTCAGAACTGACTCAACAGCACTTAACAACAACTAATATGTTATATATAGCATACATATATTGCTGTTAAAAGTGCTGTTGAGTTAGTTCTGACTCATAGCGACCCTGCATAGGGTTTCCAAGGAGCAGCTGGTGAGCTTGAACTGCTGGCCTTAAGGTTCACACCAACCTTGCAGTCCAACGCGTTAACCTGCAGCACCATACCAGGACACACTCTCTATATATGAAATCACTCTTTAAATAAAAATGAAACCTTAGTACTTTTTTGTTTTGAGGGCTAATTTATATTTATGTATATAAATGACTTAAATGTCCCAAGAAGTTAAATAGTTTAGTAAATCAAGTCACATTGACATGATGGACAATTACACAACTATTTAAAAGGGCATCTACTAAATTTGTTACGTGCCTAACATGGGAATATGCTTGTTTAGGTGTAAACAAACAGGATATAAATGCTTATAAGGACCTATGCAAACTCTCCAAAACCAATCAACAAAACCCCTATGCCTATTTAAGGAAAACACCCGAATTATCCTCAGTAGTAAGGCAAAGCTTTGAGAAACCTTTTTTCCCTCCATAAGTAACACTATTTATTTTATAAATGAAATTTATTACTTATGAAGTCATATAAACCACCCCACCAAAAAAGAAACATTTTCACCAAAATCAATAATCCAAGAGGGCCTTAAAATTTTTCTCTCCTGACATTATGAATTTCTGAAATGTTCATATTCTGGAGTTTCCAAAATCTATGTTCAGCAATTTTATCACAACAAAATGTGCTTGCATTTAGGTTTTAGTGAAAAGGAATACTTACTCCAGATGCTACTCAAGACCTCGGAGGGCTTGGCTAACTGGATGAAGCTGCATTCTTTGATGAGTTTACTGATCAGTATAAGGAAACTAAACAGAAGCCGATCTGCTGCTTTTTCTTCAGTCTCTTCCATGGTCTGAGAATGGGATGGATGTAAATCGAGTAAGGCAATAATCTGAAAGTATCTGATGAACATTTCCTTCTAGCATATACATTTACAAGCTCAGCACTACTGACACTTCAGCTGAAAACCCTTTGTTGTGGGAGGTACCCTGTGCACTGTTGGGTATTAAGCATCATCCCTGTCCTCACCGTGTCACAACTATAAATTCCTAAATATTGCTAAGTGGCTCCGGTTGTCAAAACCCATCCTGGTTTATACTGAAGAAAACTCCTACAGTAGAACCATTTTCACTCTCTTTTTCTGAGTAACAAACTCTTTGTCCCCTAAGACTTCAAATTTTTCTGTTATCACTTTGATACCATATGTTAAGTGCTGTTAAACCAGTTCCGACCCTTAGGACCATGTATAAGGTTTCCTAGGAGTAGCTGGTGAGTTTGAACCATTGACCTTGCAGTTCAAACTGACCTTGTGGTCCAGTGCTTATTCTACATCAGGACTTTTTGATACCATATAGATAGTTATTAAAAGAGCACAATGCTCAAGACAAACATATTTTCCCCTCTTTGTTGTTGTTAAGTGCGGTCCAGTCATTTCCGACTTAAAGCTACTAAGGAGCAGCTGGTGAGTTTGAACTGCCGACCTTGTGGTTTGAAGTCCAGTGCTGATCCAACAGCGCCACACCACTGTTCGGTTTTAAAAAGATTTTAGGGGATACTTTTGATTAAAGGTTTAAAGATGGTCTTAAGGAAATTGTTTCAGGGGTTCCAACCCTTATTTGTAAAATAAGGTCTAACTACATAAAATTCTTGTAGTCCTGGTGTAGTGCCATGGGTTATTGCGCCAGACTGCAAAGCCATTTGAACTGCAAGGTCAGTGGTTCAAGCTCACCAACCGCTCCTTGGAAACCCTGTAAAGGATCACTATGGGTTGGAACCGAATCGATGACACTTAACAACAACATAGAATTCTTGCGATTATTAATAAAAGAACATTTGGAACACAACTGATATTTAACCCATTAATTATACCACTGAAAAACTAAACATTGGCAAAACTTTAAAACACTCACATCTTTAAAGTTCTCAGGGTTAATTTCCTTTTCAATCACAGGAAGAACAGTTTGCAGTCTCCTCTCAAAAGCAACTCCTTCACTTTCAACGAATAAGCCACAGATCAGGGCAGCCAGCTGTCTATTTAACCTCTAGCAAAAAGAAAACATCACAAGACGAAGTTAACAACCTGGAAAGCCGTTTATGAAAATGTAAAACGAACGGGAGAGAGATGTGCCACATCGACCTTGGCATTCAGAGGCAATAAAAATATTTTTTTAAAATGATGCCAGCCCTGGGGTGCTGTAAGGTAAGCACTAGCCTGCAAACCACAATGTTGTCGGTTCAAACCCACCAGCTGTTTCTTGGAGGCCCTGTAAAGGGTTGCCATAAGTCGGAATCGACACTGTGGCAGTTGGCTTTCCTTTTGGTTTAGTAATCAATATTGGGGAACTTTGCTGGCGACATGACAAAATGTTGGAGAAGTTTTCATACCAAAAAATAACTTTTTTTTTTTAAATTAAAGAACAGAGAGGTTTAATTTTTCTTCCTTAGGTATAAGCGTCTGCAAGAAGCCAGTCATTAATTTAAGACACTTGTTGTTTCCATTCAACAAAGATGAGCCAGTGATCATGGTGGCAGAGTCAGTAAACGGGTAATAACTGATAATTAACAACAACACAGTGGTTACGAGTCAGGCTGCTAACCTCACGGTCAGCAGTTCGAAACTACCAGCCGTTCTGTGGGAGAAAGATGAGGCTTTCAGCTCCTGTAAAGATTATACAGGGTTGCTATAAGTGGGAACCAACTCCACGGCACACTACCACCACCACCACCATCAACAGAAGGCTGGCTAAGTAAGTCATGAAATACCGATGCAGTGCAGTACTCAAGGAACATTAATGAAATGCTGGCAAAAGAGGTGATTTTCATGTTCCTCTGTAATTTCTAGTTGTTATTAGGTGTTGTCGAGTCAGTTCCGACTGATAGTGACCCTGTACAGGATTTCCAAAGGGCAGCTGGTGGGTTTGAACCACCAACCTTTGGGTTAGCAGTCCAGTGCTATCTTACAGTACCATAGCAGGACTCCTAATTTCTAGTATTCTGAAATTTTCCCCTAGGAAGATATTAATTGCACAATCAAGTAAAAATAATAAAGCTTTTTCCATTTGGGAAAAACGAATCCAGCTTTGTGTAACACATATTCTAACTGAAACCAAAATCTAGTTTTAGCCAATAACAAAAGCTAAGAGTTGCCTCTGACTACATTGGACTCTACCCTAACCTTCCTCGCAGTGAACCAGCTGGTGACCATCTCAAAGAGCCAGTCCTTTTTCTCCAGGCTGATTTTACTGAGTAAGGATTTGACTGCCATGGAGGCCATCTTCTTGCACGTGGCAGAGTCATCGTTCACCATCATCAGACAAAGAGGAAGAAAGAACAGCCCGCAGTTCTCATGGAGCAGTCCCTAAAAGAAAGAAGACAGGCTTGGATGCGCACACTCAAACCCACACACAGCCTCGCGGGAAGACGGCTGGAAGAGCTTGGCTCCGAGATTCACACAGTACCTGAGGGAAGCTGTCGAAGAGATAGGCGACCATTTCCAAGGCAGACTCTCTCCCCGTCTCATGTTCATAACTAGGGCAACATTACATTGACTTGAAATTTACCAGGAATTAAAAAAACACATGAAAGCTTGAATCAAATTGTCAATCTCTTTCTTAAAACAAGGAAAACAGTTCATTTCCCAACTTCAATGATTTCATGTAAATCTACCAAGTATTACGTATGTAACTCAAGTCTGTTTATTTGTAAGGACTGGATTGAATAGCAACGTACAGAGCTGCCATGTCAAGCCAAGCAGCAAAGTGTAATAATCAAGCCGCCGATTCATCAAATAAAAGCATCGTTAGGTATAGGCCATTATTTGAGGCTTTGTCCTTTTCAAGACAACACCCATATTAAAAGGCAGAAACCACCCTTTGCCCTTGTGTAATTTACAGCTTCAGCTTACTTCAGTTGAGCGAGCATGAATTCCAAGTTTGGTCTCAGTTTGTCACCAAGGGGATAGTCAAGGATGTATTTCAGGAAAACCTAGGAACAACAGTGACACAGATGATTATTTGGGTCCCGTCTCTCCAGGATTGCTGTTTCATAGGCTGCTTTCTGGGACACACTGGTAGCTGCGAAGACCTTTTAGAAGGTTAACGGGGACTCGAGCTCAATCTGCCTGTTAACTCAATAACTCAACCTCATCCCTCCCCGTCACTTATCCAGGTCATGTGTCTGACAGAGTCAAGTCCTGGCCCACTACTGGCATGGTTGTGGAAGACTCCCAATCAATGCCTAGTTGTTGGAAGCTCCTAGCTCTTCAATAGGCAGTGTAGCGTGGTGGACCAAGTATAGATTCTAGGTCAAGTCTGGATTTCCTCCTGAGTATAATGATGGTGATGATATTATCAATACTGATAATAACAACTTCTGATGCACTAATGAAATATCTTCTAGTACTTGTAAGCAAGCACTGCATTAAGTGTTTCTTGGCTAATGTCCGTTGCTGCCTCTAAAAGCAGGTGATATGATGTTATGTTACAGATGAAGGTAATGAAGTCAGCACAGAGAGGTAAACAACTTGTTCAAGAGATGATGTCAAGAGCCTCACTACGATGTCTAAAGGCTGTGCTTTCAAAAACTGTCCAGTCTCGATTACTGAGCGGGCTAAGGATCACCACACAACTTTGTAAGGCCTGCTTTTCCTTAGCTGTAAATGGGAATGCTGTTTCTTTTTCAGAGTTTCACAGGGTGGTAATAACTAAAGATCATGCATGTAAATTTCTGGACACAAGCTAGTGTTTACAAATGGCAGCTGGCCCTCCTTCTTACAAACAATAAAGCATATTTCTTCCAAAGACACATTTTTTCCTCTCTTCACCTTGGTTTCTTCCTCAGCCCAAAGCCACCTTACACTCTGAGGTCACAGTTCCAATTCAAAGCTCTGTAACTCCTGGGTGTGAAATGTGCTCATAATATCGGCGATGGACCAATGTATACACACAATTTTAGCATGCTACTCCCCTAAACAATGATGGCAATATATTTTTACTTTTCTCAGATCAAAGCCCTAAACCTTTAACAAGACAACCGTCCACTAACTGCTGGTACGTGACGTGGACTCTGCCTCACACAGACCCTAAAGGACCAAGAATGACCACAGGGTTTCCAACTCTCATCTTTATGGAAGCAGACGATCATGTCTTTTTTCTGGAGTGGTAGGTTTGAACTGCCAACATTCCGGTGAGCAGCTGAGCACTTTACCTCTGTGTCACCAGGGCATCTTCAATCAGGCGACAGGGACCTGCTGAAGCTGCTCCCCTTCCTAACATAGCGAACCTGTATAGGGTTTCCGAGGAGCAGCTTGTGGGTTTGAACTGCTGACACTGTGGTTCACAGTTCAGTGCTGATTCCACAGTGCCACACCAGGAGTCCTACTTAGCTTCACTGATTTCCTAACAAGCCAAGCTCCTATGAACCCATTTCAAGGCTCACCTACCTCAGGCATTTGCTGCTTCCCTTTTCTGGAAGGCTGCATGTTATTCTCCCTTCAAATTTTGGCTTCAATATCAACCCTTAGAAAAGCCCTCCCTGACCTCTGGGGCTCTAGGCTTGGTCCCCCATTCCACCATATGTCTCAGTTACTGAGATATTTCACTCATGCAAAGATATGAACTTTTCCACATCTTAACATGTCTGAAATTGGGATGCATCTTACAATTGATGGAGTTGTATCACCGTGTCATGGTTTTTTCTTTCTTCAAAGTACAGAAAATAACGGTGTGTCTTAGAACTCATGAACCATGGCACTTTTTTTCCTGAGGGCACTTAGAGTGACTATAACTCAGTAACTGTTTGTGGCATTTTTGTTTTGTGCCATCTCCTGGAGGATAGAAACCACACAAAGTTTGTTTACTGCTCTTTCAGCCATCCTTGCCTAAGTAGTCAATGAATGGAACCATGGATGGAAACCGGTCCTGCAGGATGTCACAATACAGAGGGGGAAATGTAATCTTCAGTCCATCTTTCATGTTGTAGCCATATACACTGGGTCATACTCAATCAATGTTCTTTGTTAACTGACAAATACCTGAAGGACAAAGCAGAGACCCTTCTCGAACTGGGCGTGTAAATGGGCCCCCAAAATCTCTGGATAAAGCAACAACATGACACAAGCCATGCCTTCAGAAGTTGATGTCAGCACCTCTCTAGCTAGGGGCAAAGCAAACAAGGCAAAGCCAACTCTTGGGAGAGTAAGACGCTCTCTCTACAAACCTGTCTGCACTGGACTCTGACAGGTTCACTTTGTGCCGAAATTGCCAACTTGGACACTTTCCGTAAGACTTCATCTATTTCTGGAACCAACAGCTTTCTTGATAAAATGGCCTAAGATATAACAGGAAAAACAGATTTATTCACGTGTTTCACTGCAGTACACTTGCTATTAGAGTAACAATGGCAGTTCTCAAATAAGATTATCTTCAAAAGGAAAAAAAAAGTCCCATACAATAAGCTATCAGTACAGAATTCCCAGGAAACATTCACACAGAGCTTACATGTAAACAATTCAGTATTAGGTATGTCAGCGATGAGTAACACATGAAATCAGAATAGAAGTCTCCATCCAGTCACACCTGATAGAGGCTCCTAAACCCGAAGCCAGTGCACAAGGAGCAACGTACCTTGAGAAGACCAAATGCTGTCGCTTGTCTTGAGGTGTCATAGATGTCCTCCTCTGCATATGCCAGTAGGACATGCAGCTGTTTTTCAGTTATCTGGTAAGACTTCACTTTCTTCACAAGTACGGTCACACACTGCAAGTTACAATAGTGTGGTTAGCAGTCAACATGTCCCATAAGCCAGGAGACCCAGTGAAACAATATGGACTTGATATGTGGTTGTTGGTAAGTGCCTTTGAGTTAGTTGGTCCCCCACAGCAACCCTGTATAAGGTTTCTGAGGAGCGGGGCTGGTGGGTTTGAACCACTGACTTTGTGGTTAGCAGTTCAGTGTTTATCTGGCAGCACCACACCAGAACCCCTGGACTTGATACGGTGTCAACAATATCTTTCACAGAGGATACCAGCCATGCTGGTCTTAGCAAAGTAATCTGGCAAAAATGTCACCCAGGACCAAAAACGACAATGGGGAAAACAAAACTTGATGCAATCCTGCTGCTGATGCCTCTTGGCTCTAAGTGTAAATGAAAACACCTCACCTTGAAACAACTGACCACCAGGTGGAAGTTCTGGCCCTTGGCAGCTCCAAGTTTTGCATAATCCTTCAGCAAAAGGAACAAGTGTTTTGTCAGCTGTTCTGCTTTTGTTTCTAGGGAAGGCAGGGGGAACCTCAAGACCCAGATGAGGCACTGCAAAGTGCCCGTGATCACCTGAAAACAAAGAAAGAAATCAACTTCGAAGTACCTACCAAAGCCAAGAATCCGCATCTGAGGCTGGGTGGGCGCTCTCAGTAATTGAACGAAATGCTCCGGCTAACCCAAATTGAAGATCAGGAGGCTTTCTATTCCACTTGTAGAACATACTGCTCATCCACAGCAGTGAAGACATATCACAAGCAAAGGAAAAAAGATGCTCACCTACTATATTCTTAATCTATACAGGTAAACGATTAGATGGGTTTGCCACTTTGAGAGCTTTTTGCCTGGGCATGGGTATTAAAGTGCATCATGAATGACTTCTATTTTGTAGTACACTGTAATTTAATACATTCTTACTCAGCGTGTATTACATGTAATAAGGGGTTTCCCTGGATCTAAGAAGTTCAGTAATTAGAAAGACAATGTCCTTGCATTTAAGGAACATAGAACTGGTTCAGAAATCAAACAACGGGAAACATGAACTCTAATTCCATATACTCAGTGCTGTGGAATTGCTGACCCCTGAGGCCAAATCTTAGAGATGACCTAGTTCAGGTCTCAGTAATTCCACCACTACTGCTCTGGCTGTAGCCATGTCCTCATTGGACTGTTCGGGATAAAGACATAGATGAAAGAGCTTGGGTTTTGGAGTCAAAAAGCCCTGGGCTCAAATCACAGCTCTGTGACTTTTCACTTGTTTGACTTGAGATGTTACTCAACCTCGCAGCACCTTTATTTGGAAAACAAGCAACGTAAGAAAGCTGGAGGTGTGGAGGCTTTCGAGTCTGGCAGACCTCCATTATCCTGCAGTTCATATTTTACATCTTACTAGCTCTGTGATCTCAGGGAGGTCACTTAACCTAAGTCCTGGTTTTCTCATCTGTAAAAAACAAAACACTAACATGAGGGGCTTCAAAAATTTTGTGGGAAAATTGTGTTATCTTTTCATTCCATTTTTCCATGAACTTTTTGAAGTCCCCCATATGTGCCTCCTGGGTTGTTGTGAGATTAGACACAAAGTCTTTAAGATCCACAGCACTGAGGTAGAGGAATGATAATAACGAAGACAATGATGATGATTACTGGCCTAGTACAAGGCCAGGTACTCTCATAAAGGTGGTGGTGGTAAGGGTCATCGAGTCAGTTACGACTCACAGTGACCCTGTAGATTTTTAAGATGCAACTGGTGGATTTGAACCAGTGACCTTGTGATTAGCAGTCCAATGCTCATCCTACAGTGCTATACCAGAAACCCCATTTTGTGTTGTAAGGGTCAAATGAAATACGTACGTAGAAGGGCTCATCAAACATAGTGTTTATTAACTAGGAAAACAATTTCATGTAGGGATTTATGAACTCAATCATCTTGTGTACAAGCCTAGCAGGAAGTTGTAGGTGTTTTGCATGACACACCTTTTAGAAAGAAAGGATGCTCTGACATCCAGCACTCTCACCTTCACGTCCATGGAACCCAGGCAGTCTAGGAAAAGAGACACAAAAGGGTCCAACATTTCCAACACATGCTCACTTGAAGACTGGATCTTGGAATTCTTCAGACTCAGATGTAGCAGCTAAAAGATTTAAAAAGATACTCCACATTTATCACCCATAGGAACCAGCAAGTTAGGAAAATGTGAAATGATTTTAAGAGACAAAACGAGAAATGCTAAAATGATTGATTCTATTTAAAACGACACACAAATAGGCGGGAAGCTGTTTGGGAGATTCTCAGGAAGTCAAGAAGATGGGCCTTCACAGTGCAGCTAGGATACTAAGTTCTTATTCTCGGTGTCTACTATGGCTAGACAGTTAGGACACAGCGGTGACCAAAAAGTTATGGTCCCTACCCTAATTGACCTTGGTCAGGAAGGCAGAATCCCAAGAAATAACTAACTAGTGACACACGTCGGGTGCTGTGAGAGTTCTGTGGTGAGCAGGGGGCAGAACAGGTAGGAAGGTCCCAGGCAGGAGAGTGTGGTGACTTCCTATGACTGGAAGGGAAGCAGTGCAGGTGGTATATGTGTGTGTGGGGGGGCGGGGGGGAGGGCTACAACACGAAGGGCCCAGAAGGCTGGAAGTCAATGAAGGGCTTCAGCCACTGCCATCTAGTTGACCTGAACTCATAGCAACTCTACAGCACAGAGCAAGACTGTCATCCGTATGGCTTTCCAGGCTACAATCTTTACAAAGCACACCGCCACATCTTTCTCCTGTGGAACAGCTGGTGAGTGAGTTCCAACTGCTGACCTTTTGGTGAGCAGCTGAGCACTTAACCACTGTGGTACCAAGGCTACTTGAGGGGTTTTTTAAGAAGGAAATTACTCATTCAGATTTGTGTTCTGAAAAGATCTTTAAAAAAAAAAAATCAAAGTAGATCAAAGGTCTTCAAGGGCAAAGCAAGAGAGAAGCCATCAGGCAAGAAGAGAATCATTAACTCTGGGTTGGTTATATCATCAAAGCAAATACTGAGAGTGTAGGCGTGGCCTGTGTGGCTTTAAAATACCCATTCAGTCCTCGGACAGTAAGGCATCTCCAGTGGGACATCAGCAGAGGATGAAAAGTCAAAGATGCACGGTGGGCATTCTAGGCTTAATTCTTACCCGAAGTCCAGATTCAATAAATATGTGCATGTTGGTTTTCTTGCTCACGAGGGCTTTCTGTCCACCTCGAACTGGAGTTGGGGGGAGCAGGAGACAGCTCTGGGGTGGCAGGCGTGGATCTGGTGCAGGGGCTGGTAGACTCCTGCCAATTACAATGGAATGAAAAACAGAAACACTGTGGCTGTGTCCCTATATGCCATCCGAGCGCTCTCTGGTGATGGGAGCCGTGCCTAGCTAATGTGCCATTTGCTTGTGCTCCTGCCCCATCCTCCAGCCCCAGTTAACCACACACAGAAAAGATCAACGGGTTGTTGATCAAGGTTCCTAGGATAACCCCAGAAACAGGTCTGATCAAACAACATACATTGAAGAGAATGGTAAAGGGACCCTGTCTTTGATTTCTGAAAGCAAATGTCAGCAAGTCTCTTTTGGAACACAAAGGGAAAACCCAAAGGCAATTTATTAATATGTACAGTATATTTTATACATTTTAAGGTCTAACCCTCTGCTTGACCAGAATAAGAAATATATATTTAAAATCTACCAATGTAGATTCAATGAATAGTTATATATAAAAAAACTCAGATGATTAAAAAAAAAAAAGTAACTGATTAAAGTGACCCACTTTTATTGTTGTTAAGTGCCATCAGGTCGGTTTATCATTTCTGAGGAGTGCCTGGTGAGTTTGAACTGCTAACCTTGCGACTCAAACCAACTTCCAAATCCAGTGTTTATCCTAGAGTGCCACACCCACTTAGGAGAGGGAATAGCCAGGCACCACCAGAAACTAGGAGGCCTGAATAGGCCCTCAGTAGGAATCAACACGGTCGCCATCTTAGCCTCCAGAGCTAAGCCTTCCTCAGAGGATGACAGCTAGGAGGCATGAAGACAACTGAGGAAGAGATGAGAAAACACATGGCAGAGAGTCACTTCCGATGACTTCAAGTATCAGATGCCATTCCTTTCTCAGCATAACAGAAGGAACTGGAGAGGAGACTAACCGAACTAGGAAGAGATGACCTTGCTAATGTCTAAGATTAAATGTATGCTCCCAGATAGGTTTGGGCTTAAAACAGATGAAAATATCAGAGAAAACTGGAGGGGGAGGGGGGATAAGGGAGGAGAGGGGGACTAAATAGGAGCTGAATATCAGAAATAAGCATCTAAAGGACACGTCCGAACCCAAACTTACTTTTCTTTCTCTGTTAACAGGGGGAGATTTTCACTGACCAAACCATAACTGAGCAATAGGATGGCTTCTGTTGTCATTTCTGGATTCCCAATTAATCCTGCTATGATTCGGCGTAAGGTTTCATGAACTTTCCGGGCCAGTTTTAAACTTGTGGTATTTTGTAAGATCTAAAGGCAAACATGTCATGCTAAAGTAACATCAAATAGTATTCTGATTGGTTGTAATAGCAGTTTTCTTTCTAATGCATGCTCATTTTTTTTTTTTTTTTGGTAATTAAAAAAGGAATGCTTTCTTATAAAATCTCAAGCACACACACACACACACAATATACAAAGTAAAAGTCAGCAGTCTCCCCCTCTCACAAGAGAGAAGCACTGTCTGTGTGCCTCTGGATTCCTCCACAGGTCCCCTGCTCCCTCTTGCGGCACACGGCCTGGGAGATGATGTGCTCAGAGCCTTCCAAGTGTGTATGTTGTTGAGTGTTGCTGAATGGATTCCTATCACAGCGACACTATGTGACAGGGTAAAACTGCCCCAGTTTTCTCGAGTGCACTCTAGCACCAATTATGGAATGAATCTTGCACCAAAAAACATTTGGAACTATACAACTTTTTGTTCTAGTTTTAAGACTGCAATAAAAAGAATTAGGATGCTCACTTATACAACAGGCAAAACCCAAACCCAAACCCACTGCCACTGAGTTGATTCTGACTCACAGTGACCCTGTATAGAGTTTCTCAGGAGGGAGGCAAATTATAGAACCTGCCATCTAGACAGAAGGCAGAATGAAGCAGTAGAAAGAATATGAGCTTTGACTCAGAAAGATCCAGAACTAATCCCTTAACGGTATTTTTTGCTACCTTTTTGAGACTTAATTCTGGGAGTAGTAGACTGACTCAAAAGGTCATATTCTTAGCTACTGACTTGACCCAGTTGTAAAATACACCTTACTACAGTTTGTATTGCCTTTCTTTTGGTATTCCAGGACGTACAGCAGGGACTGTGACGCTGGGGCTAGAACATTACTTCAGGATTGTCAACTAGTGGCCATGTGGAACTGGTACCGTTAGCATCAGAGGAAATGCTGGTGATCGAATGCAGTGTAAGTGAGGTTTACCCTGCCAGGCTCTTTTCAGGAATTTGTCACGCTGCAAACCTTGAAATCTCCTGTTTTGCTTTCAAGTCCTTACCTCTTTTAACGGAAGGATAAGCTTTGTAACTTGATCTTTTCCTACAAATTTCCCCAGAATTTCATAAGAATCGTAACTCTTGCTTCTTCGTGCTTCCATGACTTTAGATAGGATCTGTTTTACTTCTTTTTCTTCAGCAATGGCACCAAACAACTCAAGGTTGAAAATCTTTGAAAGAAAAAGGTCAGTAAAATATGCCAACTTAAGTAGTATGTTTAAATCAAAGAAAAGCAAGTAGGTCTGGAATGAAATTAGAAGGTAGAAATTTCTATTAGCTTTTACTTGTTTTCAATGCAATTTAGGGACTACTTACTTAAAATATATATATATATATAATATAAAAGCATCTGA